GGGGGGGTGGGGGGTGAGGGGAGGGCTGGAAGGCGGGTCACCCTGTCTTCCCGTGACCCCAGGCCCTGCCGGCTCACTTGACCAGGCCGGCGCTCTGGCCCCGGCTCACAGCCGCGCTATACTGCTCCTGGGCGGCGGCCTTGTCCTTGATGTTCCCGGGGTAGGTCACACCATCGATGGTCCTGCGGGGGAGGGGCAGTGGTTGTTGGGAGTCTGCCCACCTGGCGGCCTAAGCGCTTCCCTGGACCTCAGTGTGACCCCGCCTCTCCTGGGGCCCACCCACTCCTTCTGTGCCCACTGTGCCAGGGCTGGGTGAGGGTGGAGTCTGGGCACGGCATGCTGGATCTTGGCCCAGTGAGGCTGCGCAGAGGGATGTGGGTCAGAGGGGGCAGGGTAGGTGGCTCCCGGGCTCCCTGTGCCTGTCCACTCTGGCTTACAGTCTGCCCCGAAGGAGTGCTTGCCCAGTGCGGGCCTTGGGTCCACAGGTGCCTGGCCCTGTGAGAATCTGAGAGCAGAATCTGGGGTGCGTGGAGACAGTCCTTACGGCCCCCATCCTCCCCCTCGACAGCCAGCAGCAGCGCAGGCAGGGCTTTGGGCAACCGGCTGGTTGTCCCCCAGAGGCGCCGACGCACTGGTACCAGCTGCCCTCCTTAGGAGCCCAGCAGCAGCACTGACCGGGCTACTCTACTGGGGGGCAGGAGGGAGGGGAACCTGCTCCCCGAGCCCTTGTGGGGCAAGAGTGGATGTGCCTGGTAAGCATGTCCCTGACCCCAGGGGTGAGAGTGGGCATGTGCTGAGGGAGGGGCGGGGAGGATGGCTCAGGTCAGCTCCTCAGGACCAAGCTGTCCCCACTCTGACCTCCTGGTTACACTTTCACTCTGGATCGGAGTGGGGGCTGCTGGGTGGGGGAGCAGGGCTCCTCCCACTCAAGACGGGGTCCTCTCCCAGAGCATCCCGCCCTCTTCTCTGCCCACCCACACAGCAGCAGCACTGGGGCCATGTGTGATGGCTCAGCACTGAGCGTCCAGTGGGGGACTCGGCTGAGAGGGTGGGCAGTGCAGGCCAGGCTGAGAGCTCGGCCAGGCCGGGGCTGCTGTGTGATGTGGCGTGGTGTGTGTGAGGGTACGGTGTGTGAGTATGCATGTGTGTGTATGTGTGGGGTGTGTGTCTACATGTGGTGTGTGTGCACATCTGCATGTGCGTGTGCATGTATACGTGTGTGTATGGTGTGTGTGTGTGTGCTGAGGGACAGACTGGAGAGGGAAGAAGTAGTCGATGGCAAAGACCCCGTCTTGCTGCAGAGTCTCCAGAGGCACCGGACTTGCCCAGGACCCTGCGCGAGAGTCGCTCACCCTCTGCCGACTCCCCCACCTGCCCCTGGGTTTCTGGCAGCAGCTGCATGTGGCCTGTCTCTCCACGGGGCCAGGGACATCCTGGGCGCTCACCCGTGTTCAGCAAACATTGCGACAGGAAGCCAGACCAGGGGCGGGAGGTGGTGGGGGGGAGGGGGAGGAAGGACAAGGACAAGGTGAGGACTCTGGTGTCCCCATGGGGGTACCACGTGGGGGTACCTAAGCTCGCCTGGCTTAGGGCTTCCAGTAGAGGAGATCCTTCTCCCCAGGGATCCTGGCCTTCGCTTGCCTTCTGAGCTGGCTGGAATCTACCTTTAAGAGCTCCCTCCTGCATGGGCCTGGCCTCGGGGAGCCCAAAGTCTGGGCCCTCAGCCCATCACTGGGGCCGCACTCAGAGACCAGTGGGGGGAGGGCTCTGTGTATGGATGCACGGAAGGGGGAGTGGGGCTAGGTGGGTGGAAGCATATGTGGGTGGCTAAGCAGATGGATAGAGGGGTGGGTGGGTGGAGGCATGCACGGAAGGGAGGGGATCACTGGCAGCACCCAAGGCCTATGTGGACTCTCCTCGTAAAGCCTCCAGCTTTTTGGCACTGCCGGCAGGCCTGGGGAAAGGTGTGGTGACGGGCAGGGCGGCACGCACATGGAGAAGTTGGTGATGAAGGCTCTCTTGGGCAGCTCCATCTGGAAGGTGGCCTCCTGCACCGTGTCGGCCTTGTTGACCACCCGGCTGGTGATGACCGTGTGGGCGAACCGGGAGGAGACCTTGGAGTCCACGGTGAGGCTGTAGATGTCGATGCCATTCTGTCCCCAAGAAAGAGGGGTGCAGCTGCATTACCACCGCCTGGCTCGGTGCGAGAAGTGGGCCCTGTCGCCCATCCTGACCCGTCTCCACTGTGCCCAGCCAGGTCTCCGGGTAGAGACCCAGGTGGGTACTTCCTGAGTGGATGCTCATCTCAGGTAAGCAGCAGCCCAAGGTCACACCCTGGCCTGAGGCACCGCAGAGCAGGGGCCTGCCCACGGCGCACCCTGGAGCGCCGACGCCCAGCCTGGGAGGCCACCTTTGTCGGGGCAGAAGTGGACCACAGAGGGCCAGGAAGCCTCCAACACCGTCTTCAGTGATAGGGCCATGGACAAGTCACTTGCTTTCCGGGGACCTGGCCTCCATGGACCCGGGTGGCCATGCTCCAACCAGGGTGCCACAGGAGCTGGGCGGCTTTGGGGGTAAAGGTGGGTCTAGTTCCTAAGATGATAACATGGCCGTGCCCTTTCCTGAAGCCAGAGTACAGGGCCTGGGACCCTGTGGTCCCCCACCCTACCCCAGGCTAGCCAGAGGCCCCCCCCCAGACACAGGCTCCTTTCCCTCAGGCACCCAACTGCCCCGAGCTCTAGACCCCAGTGGCATGGGCTTGTCCCCACTGTAGCCCCCAGGCCACAGCCCCCATGGCCACAGCTCCTGTCTGTGAACCAGAACAACAGGCCCACCCCCTCCGGATGCAGAGAACACACAGAGCCCCGGCAGAGAGGGGGCAATGCCGTCAGCAGGGTCTCCTTGAGCAGGCTCTTGAGAACATGTGCTTGCACACACACACACACACACACACACACACACACACACACACACACACAAACTTGCATACACACCCTCTGTGTTCCCTCGCTCATACTTACAGGCTTGCACACAGAGGCTCCCCCCACACCTCACATGCGCACCCACAGACACTCGGCCCCCAGCCTGCTACCTTTTGGGCCGAGGCGGCCTGGAGGGCGGCCAGCAGCACCAGCAGGACAGGCAGCAGGCTGCAGGTCCGGGTCTTCATCTCAGCCCAGTGCTGTCTTCTGTGAGCTTGGGAGGCAGGGGGAACAGATTAGTAACTGCCTGATGGCCCACCCCTGCGGGGGCAGGTTCCAGGAAATTGGACCCACAAGCCAACCACGCAGGGCCACAGGGGAGCAGGCACACTGAGTGCCCCTGGACCTTGGCTGGGGCCGGGAGGTGTGAGGAAGGGCAGGCTCGGGTTGGAGGTGGCTGTTGGCACCAGAACCTTCTCAGGCCACCACACCCCTTAGCCCCATGAAAGGCCACAGTCCACTCTGAAAGCCAGGGCTGGGGGTGGCGGGACAGGCAGCGAGGGAGTTGGGGTGGGGGTGGGCTTCCTGGAGGGTGGGCCTTGGAAGCGCAGTGGTGCGACTGGGCAGTGACAGTCCTGGTGGCCACTGAGAAGCCCTGGGAGGTGTCTTAATTGGGACTATCTGTCTTGTTTTGGGGGCAGGGAGGACTGGGCCCCACGTTCTCCGTGACCAGGTTGTTTTCTGGGCTCATCAGGCTGGCCAGGACTCTTGGCTCCATTCCAGGCAGGTCCCCAAACCACCAGTGTCCAAAGGCCCCATCCTGCAGGTCTTGTTGGGCGCTCCCGCAGGGGGTTGGGAGCTGCAGTGCCCTGTGGAGACCAGCCAGGGCCAGAGCCCCCAGCACCACGGGGCGGCCAGGGCCTGGGTCACCAGCGACTCAATTTCCCTTTAAGCCAGCTGAAATGTCTTATTACCGGTCTTGTTTCTGGGGCCAGAGGGGCTGGGCCCCTCTCCCGTGGGGATCAGGCAGTCGTGTGGGCCATGTCAGGCTAGCCTAACGCTGGTCCAAGGAATAGCAGGCCCAACAGCGAGTGCCCTGCACAGCTTCTGGGTCACAGCGGCGAGAGGACCACGGAGAAGCCTGCCCGCTTCCACGGAGCCTCCTCACGGCTGGTTGAGTGGAACTGCTGGCCTTGCGTTAGCAGCTCAGGGAGGAGTCCGTGGTGTCCCCATGGCCCCTTCTAGGATGCACGACAGAGGCGTGACGGGGCCCCAGGCCTGTTGTGTGTGTGTGTGTGTGGGGTGTGTGTGTGTGTGTGTGTCAGCCGCTTACCCAGGGCAACGGCAGGAAGGCACCTCCCCCTCAGCCCTGCCCCCCTCAGCTGGTGGAAGTCATTGTGGGCCTGGGGCGATCTCCCCAGCTGAAGGTGAAGCGCTCCCCCTTTTGAAGTCTTGCTCCTGTACCTGACACTGATCCCCCATCTGGCTCTGGTGGTAATGGGGTGAGGGGAGACGACACCCCCTTCAGTCATGTGGAGGAAGGACCTCCCCAGGCATCCCAGTGAGCAGGCTGAGGTCCTGGCCCAGCCTGGATGCAGAGCTATAAAAGGAGGCCAGGCGGCCAGCCGGGGCTGTGGGAAAGGCTGTGCTGGGCCTCCCTGCCAGGGCAGCCTCCCGGGGTGTGGGGTGGGGCATCCCTGCAGGGTCCAAGCTGTGGGCAGGGCCTCTGCCAACATGCCTGTCATCTGGTCACAGCCCCGGTCAGACTGTTATGGGACCACGGCCAGGGTGGGGGTGTGTGAGTGCTCCGAGGTCCACAGGGCTGAGGGTCCCCCAGAGAGCTGTGTAGTGTGTTGGGGGGAGTGAGCAGGTTGGAGAGGGGCCATGGTCTTCTGCCTCTCAGGGGCTCGGAGACATCTCAATGCCTTGGGGTGGTGGTAGAGGAGGTCGAGCATTGTGTAGTTGTCTCCGCGGCCATGGACCCACAGATGTCAAGCAGGGAGGTGGGCAGAGGACAGGAACAGTGGTCAGGTGGTGGGGAGGCCTGGACCAGGGAGACTGGTCAGCAGAGATGGGGCTGGGGTGCAGCCGTGCTAGGGGTGCCTTCCCTCTGAAAGCCCCTGCCCCCTACCCCCAGCCCCCTAGGACAGTAGTAGCAGCTGTCAGTCAGCGCCCTTGGGCTGTTTTATTCTTGGCTGGTGGTGCGGCGATGCACAAGACACACAACACATGACACGGCAGTTTGAGGAGCGCGCGGCATTCAGTGATGCAGGCCACCCTCCTGATCTTGGCTGCCCCCCTTCCCCCCTTCTCCCCGGGACGGCTGGGCGGTCTATTGCTCCTGGGCGGCTGCAGGGCCTGGGCCAAGGCAGCAGGTGAGGTGGGCGTGTTCCGATGTAAAGCAAACTCCTGGTGGCCTCTCAGGCAGGCCAGCCGGCTGGCATCCAGGCTGGGGGAGGCCAGGAGGTGGCGCCCCCTCAGCCCAGGGCGCTCTTGGCAGGCCCGGCTCCCGGCTTCTCAAAGACAGTCTCGGTGCCAGTCCGGGAGCCACTGAACACGGAGGGGGCCGTGGAGCCGGCTTGCTCTGCAGGGGGAGGGGGCAGTCAGGGCAGGACTCCCCTTGCACCCTGCCCACCTCCCCCCCCACCCCCGCGGACACCACTCACCACAGGCCCGCATGACCTGGTAGGTCTTGCTCCTGATCTCCTGGTTCTTGCCCAGGTTCCCTCGGGCTCCTTTCAGGTCCTCCTCCCTCACAGGTGGCCGCTTCTTCTTGATGGGGGCTTCCGGGGCGCCGGCCTGGGTGAGCCCGAGCCTCATCTTAGCGCCCCCCTTCAGGGCTGCATCCCTGCCCTGCCCTCTGGAGACTTTTCTTGGCCCAGCCCCTCCCTCCCCTGGCAATTCTCCCGACCCTCGCCTGTCACACACTTGACCCCTGCCAGTGCCCACCACCCTTGAAGCAGTCTGTCTACCCGGTCCAGCTCAGGCTGGGCACAACAGGGGTGGTGGTGGTGTGTGTGTGGGGGGGGTGGGGGGTGGAGGCTGGCTTTGAGGCCCAGCAGCTCCGAGAGCTGGGAATTTGCTTTGGTTTCTGGAGCCAGGGCCTTGGGGTGTTGACGAGCTGCTCACAGAGGCAGGGGCTTGTAAGGACTTGTCCTTAGACCCCCCCAACCCCCCCCCCAGCATTCACCATGCATGCTCTGTGTGAAGTGGGGTTGGGGGTCCAGGTGCGCAGCCCCCACCCCATAGCATGCCCATCCCGTAGCATACCCTGAGGCCGGGCCGCCCGCCAGTCTGCCACCTCTCCCTCCCAAGCCCTGGGCCAGGTGCGTGGTCAGCAGTCACTTCTCCCAGCCTCCTCCCAGATGGGGTGGGGTGGGGTGGGGGGGCTCATCACGGGGCGAGCCTCCAGAAATGACAGTCCTACCTGGGACATGGTGTGGGAGGGTCTCTACAGGCACCGCTCGGCAGGCGTGGCAGGAATGCGGCACAAACCCGAGCCCTCGGCTTATATAGCCGGCCAGCCTGCCGGGGAGTCACCGCCCTGCTGTCCGCCCTGACGCAGGCCCCCACCGCCACTGGCTTGAGTTTATTCTGGGAGATGATGGGGGCTGCGGGGAAGGCAGCTGGGGAGCCCGCTGCTGCCCTGCCCTGACTCAGGCCTCATGCAGGCGCTGGCTTCAGAGTTTATTCTGGGAGATGATGGGGCTGTGGTGACAGCAGCTGGGGAGCCCCGAGCCCCCCGGCAGCGGCTCTGAGGGCAGGTGGGAGGAGCGTGTATGAAGGCACCCGAGTCACAGCCTCACCCTCCCCTGTGCAGCTCTCCTGGGAGGCACGGCCCAGGGCAGGCAGCTGCTCTGGGTTTGTTTTGCTCTCTGCCTGCCCCCCCTCGAGACTTCCCGGCTTCCTGTGACTGACAGCAACATGTGTTCTTTCTCTGGGGCTGCGCTGAGGCCACGGTAGGGGGCTGGCTGCAGGGGCTATGTAAGGGGGTTGGTGAGAGGAGATGGGGCGGACAAAGCCCACTGAGCAGGCAGCCTACCCCAGACAGTGACCCCCACAGACTACTCGGCTTTTCTGGGGCCCAGGCTGGCTCCCTCGGGCACAGACACACCAGGTTCCTGTCTGTCTGGCATGGGGGTCACTTTATCCTGAAGGCTCCAGAGGGCAGTGGCCTTGGGTTATGCAGCCCCACCCAATGCCCTCCTCCCCCA